ATGACTAGACTTTACATAAGGCAAATGCTTCCTGAAAAAAATTATTCTTTTCCAGTTTCTTATCTGAAAACATTTCATTTTTCTAGGCAAGTATTGCCCAGGCAGCCTTTTTGTTATAAGGAAACTACAAAGGGAACAGTTTCCTCCATATTGAAATAAAAATTATTTCACCACTGATATAACATAGGAAAATTATTTTTTTAAGTTTTTTTCTAACAGGCTTTGTGAAGAAGCTTTATCTTATGTTTAATACACAGATTCAACACATTTTTTTGTTAACTATGTTACTTCTGAGCTTTTAACTTAGTAAAATTCAGACTCTACCTGTGTGCATGCAGCCCTACCCATGCATGCATATCAGAGTACATTGTTTTTTAGGCTTATTTTCTGCCTGCTTATTGTTTAGTACAATTTGTGGAGTTTTAAAATCTTCTATAAAAGTTGATTATGACCCTTAGGATGTGATGTATAAGATTGCCATTATGTGATGCATGAAATATTTTTCACTATAACCTATTTTGATTTCTTCCTTAACTCTTTTTATAGTAATTACATTTTTACTGAGGTTCATGACAGGAATTGTTTTTAAAAACTCAGAATAAGGTTGTGGCTCAGCAATAGAGCACTCGCCTTGTACGTGTGAGGTGCTGGGTTCGATCCTCAGCACCACATAAAAATAAATAAATAAAATAAAGGTATTGTGTCCAACTACAACTAAGAAAAAAAATATAGAATATAGTTGTCATAGAATACTATATATAATATAAAAAGAAAAACTAGAGTTTCTGACTTCCGTGTAGGCATTCTGGTAGTACATTCTAGTTTTGGAAAAACATGATTATTAGAAGTAGAAGAAAGATTAGTGTTAGGAGTTACTTAAAGTTATATTAATGAGAATTTTCTCAAACTTTTTTGGTTATATAAAATAAATTTTACTCAGTTTTTAAATAATTTCATCCCTTTTTATAAATTTTACCTTCTTTTCTCATTACTTTTGTGGTTTGTTTGGACTACACTTATTTGCAATTATATATAACACTTTAAGGCTTTTTCATTGCATGCATATCATCACTAATTAGATTGTAAGCTCTTGGAGAGCAGGAATTTTCATTTATTTTTCCTTCTGTTTTGCTTGTGTCCTTTTCTGCCCTCATACCCATTTTCTTGCAGGGCCCTCAATAAATGTCATTAACTGATAAAAATTTATTTTCTTATTGAGCTTTTTTATTCTTATAACTGTGACTAGGGTAATAACCCTTTAACTTCTGATCTTATGAGTTTGCTTGGTTTGCACTTTAAATATTCTCTTTGTTTTGTTTTGTTCATTTAAGGGTTTTTCTATCATCTCATTGGATATTTTTGAGGTTTTTATTAGAGCCATTAATTTCAATCATGATTGATAATCATTTCATATAGGTGTGTGTGTAATTGGTTTTTGCTCTTTTAAAGTTGATGAGTTTTATCACAAGGTTTCAGTTTAATTTTTTTATGGGTTTTCACCACAGTAGGTAAATTTATTTTCATTGCCTTCTTTTTCCCTTTTTTTACCCTTCTCCCTTCCCACTCCTATTTCTCATTGTCGATTCAGGTACTCAGTACTTTTATTGCTGCCCTTCTATTCTTTTCACAAGAAAATGAATTCATTGAATTCTAAGCAATATAAAGAAACAGTAGGCTAAATAGTAGGCTATAAGCCAGGGGCGGTGGTGCACGCCTTTAACCCAAGCGGTTTAGGAGGCTAAGGCAGGAGGATCACAAATTCCAAACCAGCTTCAGCAACTTAGCAAGGCCCTAGGCAACTCAGCTAAATAAAATACAAAAAAAGAGCTGGGACATGGCTCAGTGGTTAAGTGCCCCTGGATTCAATCCCTCGTACCAAAAAAAAAAAAAAAAAAGAAAGAAAGAAAGAAAAAGAAGTAGCTTATTTATATCTTTGATGAAATAGGTCAGAGGTTGTTAAATTTTTGAATTTCTTTATTTGCAAGTGAATCTTTTTTTTTTTTTTTTTAGTATTTTTATTAGTTGTTGATGGATCTTTATTTTATTTATTTATTTGCGGTGCTGAGAATCTAACCCATTATGTCACACATGCCAGGCAAGTGTGCTACTGCTGAGCTACAGCCCCAGTCCTTGCAAGTGAAATCTTAACTTAAGCTGAGGGCTGTCATTTAATATTTTTGTTTCATTGTAGAATTCTAGGTAGTGGCAGGAAGATAGGGCAGCTACATAAAAGGACTTCCTTATCACAGAGAACAGAAAAATGCAAGAACATCAACTCAGCCAAATAAAGAAGATAAATTCTGGTAAACTGACTGAAAAGGATTACTTAAGAGACCTAAAGCCAGTGCATTGGTGCACGCCTGTAATCCCAGCAGTTTGAGTTCAAAGCCAGCCTCAGCAACTTAGTAAGGCCCTAAGCAACTCAATGAGACCCTGTCTCTATATAAAATATAAATTAGGACTGGGGACTTGCCTCAGTGGTTGAGTGCCTCTGGATTTAATCCCTGGTACAAAAAAAAAAAAGAACTTAAAATAATTTAAAATATATTTTCAGAGATTCTTCAAGACTTTTATTCTTTAGGTGTAGTATTAACTGTTCAAAAAGTAGGGAGGGGAATTATGGCTGTTCCCTAATTTATTAAGTTGGGTTTCAAATGTTTATTATTAAGAATATATAGAATTTAAAAGCATTTCTTTATTATGGCAATGTAGGTATGATGATTGAATTCCCAGTACAGTTTATCCTGTTCTACTAAAAAGATAATTAGAGGGCTGGGGCTGTAGCTCAGTGGCAGAGCTACAATGTGCAAGAGCCTTGCACATGTGAGGCACTGGGTTCGATCTTCAGCACCACCTAAAAACAAATAAAATAAAGGCATACTGTCTATCTACAAATGCAAAAAAAAAAAAAAAAAAAAAAATTAATTAGAGGTCCAAAGCAGTTTAGGAACTAGATCATGTTTGTTAAATACCTGAGTCAAGAGCAGATTTAAGTTTTCCTATTCCTAGACCTTTGTTCTACCTCATTTCCCCTATACTTTTATTCATTTAAAAAGCCAGAAATGTAACATTTTTTCCTTCAGTGACTTTTCTGTTAAGTTTCTAGGAATTTTCCAGTGCTCCAATGTGATTAAGTCTTCACTTAATTACTATGTCTTGAAAGATGTATTTATAGCCATAGGTGAGGTTTCATAACATGGATTCTAAAGAGAACTTTCTGGAAATGTGCCAGTGCTTATTTTCCATTTTAAAACCATTTTTTTTTTTTTAAGTACAGAGAGTTCTTTGACAAGAAATTGATTAGCATGTTTACAAAATACAAATGTGAATATAAATATAATTTTAGCCATTGTACATGTTAAACAGATTTGGGGTTATCATGCCTAGGGGATTATACTGTTAATGATGTGTGATGAGTTTAAGAATGTGGTGCAAAATTTTTTTGCTGTTTTAGAATAAAACAAACCTATCAAGGCTGGGCTCAGTGGTGCAGGCCTATAAATCCCTGTGATTCAGGAGGCTGAGGCAAAAGGATTCCAAGTTTGATGTCAGCCTGGATGAATTTGCAAGACCCTGTCTCAAAATAAAAAGGACAGGGGATATAGCTAATTGGTAGTGCAAGTCCTGGTGTTCAATTCCCCCAAATAATAAACAAACCCAAAAAACTGTCATATCTAATATAAGGATGTCATAAAAAGCCATGTTCTCAAAGCCTCTCAGGTTCTGATTAAAATACTTTTCATTCTAATTCAAATTCTAACATGTTAATTTTTTTTTTTTTTTGAGCAGTCTTATTTCAGAATCTGTAGTCTACAGCAAAAACTAGAAAAGTGGAGCCCAGTGGCACACATCTGTAATCCCCAAAACTCAGGAGACACGATGATAAACAAGTTGGGGGCCAGCACCAGCAATTTAGTGAGACCCTGCCTCTAACTAAAAAATAAAAAGGAATGGGAATGTAGCTCAGTGGTTAAGTGCCCCTGGGTTCAATGCCCAGTACAAACAGCAACAAAATTAGAAAAGAAGCACATTGTTTTTGTCAGTTAAACTAACAACAATGCAGTAACAGCTGATAGCCAAGAAGGAAGCAGGAAAACCTGTCAATACCCAAGTAAATCAAACTTCAAAGCACCTATTGGAGTAAATTCAATAGCTACTCAAAGTGGCTTTGAGGATATAATATAATGATTTTTTTTTCTTTTTGGTAAAGAAAAGATTAAAATTTGGTTAATATACTCCATGTAGGAAGTCAAGGATAAGCTATTCCCCAAAGAAGTAGAGAAATTCACCTGAATGTTAAATATTGGGATCAGAAGTGACTTATTTTTCTCTTTTATTTTCTAATTTTTACATTTCCAGCATGGATTACTTTTATAATTAGAAAAGATTTTATACCAGGCATGGTGGCTCACATCTATAATCCCAGCAGCTTGGGAGGGTGAGGCAGGAGGATCATGAGTTCAAAGCCAGCCTCAGCAAAAGTTAAGTGCTAAACATCTCAGTGAGACCCTGCCTCTAAATAAAATACAAAATAGGGCTGGTGATGTGGCTCAGTGGTTGAGTGCCCAAGTTCAATTTTTGTTTTTTTCAATTTTGAGATTTTGTTTTTAAAGTCAGTAAAATATACACAGAAGTGTTTCTACCAGAGCTTTAGTTTAAATCTTCACCTGTATATTATAGAAATAATATATATATAAAAAAGGATTGACTCCTAAATATTGAGGTTTCCTAAAGTTTTGCTAGCTATATCTATCTGGCTCTACATTTGTCTTCAGAGTACTTTAGAAATAATCTAATCTAAAGAATGAAGTCTGTTTTGGAAGATTATTTCACTTTTTACTCTTTAACTAAGCCACTAGGAAATAGAATACTGTATACATTAGGTGAGAAATAACAAGAGAAAATGACATTAAGGCTGAAAAAAAAATTGAAACAGTTCTAAGTTGGGTTTCTATTATGATTTTAAGATATTATTCTTAATACATAATTATTTTACTTACAGATGATGAAGAGAGAGAGCTTCAGATGGATCCTGCAGACTATGGAAAGCAACGTTTCAATGATGTTCTTTAACTCCTAAAAGAAAACATCAGAAAACCTGAAGTGCTGTAAAATGGAATCATTTCTACTTTGTCATTTTTGACTTCTGTTGTAAAGATCAGTTGTATCAGTTGTAAAGATACATTGAGATAGATGTAAGGAAAAACTTTAATGAAGGAATGTACCCATGTACATATGTGAACTTTTTCATATTATATTATCAAAGAAGACTTTTGGTTATGATACAGTTGAGCCCAAAACAGATAATCTTTGCATTTAAAGCAAACTAATGTATATTTCACATTTTTTGAGCCTAATTTTTTTTCCACAAATAGACAAATGGGAGAAAATGGTTATGTAGATGTTTTATGATGCACATAGCATAACCACAGTGAGAACAATTATTCAGCTGAGAATTTTTTATATACTAATATCTTCTTGTTAGCCCAACAGGTGTTCTGTTCTATCTGCCCCTCATTTCATGCTTTTCAGGAGTTATGCCTAGAATAGTTATGTAAAAGAGGGGAAATTGGATGCCAAACACTAGTTAACGTGTACAAAACTGCCTCTCTACTCAAGTGCTGATGTGTTTTGGCATATTAACTTTCAGCTGATGCCTGATGGAATTTGAGATAAACTTCAAAGACATAACAGTATATATGAGTTATTGTTTACGTTAGTTCTTGAAATTATGGAATGCATGATGGACGATATATTTTCAATTTTTTCTTTCTCAAGTAATACCAGTACTATTTAAGTATAGTCAGCACTGGCTAAAAGAAAAATTTTTTTTCAGAGTTCAGGTCAGTGAAGATAAATTAAATGCCAGATCCTGAAAGGAGCTAAATCTACTTTGAAATGAATCTACAATTGATATTTCAAAGCTTTTCTGGTAGTTTTAATGATCTTATTTAACTAGACTTTTTCAGAACTACTAAATAAGAAATTTTAACAGGTTTTTATTAATGCACACATAAATAGATATACAGTGAGGTCTACAGCTGTTTTATTAAAATAGCTTAAAAGTTAAAATAAAAATGAATCTTTGTAATTACTTAATGTTAGTTAAGAACCCATCAACCTCATATTTGCTAGACTTACACAAAATTGTTTTAAATGCATTTTTTGACACTATTTAGTCAAATGTGTAAGCTAGCTAACCCTTATTTTCTTATTCAAAGCACTTTTAAATAGTACCTCTCCCCACAAAAAAACTAAAGGTTTGGATCATACCAGGATGTTTAAGGTTGTTTAACCCTGTTTTTCAAAAGGGCTACCATTAATTGCATATAAACATGAAATATCAGGCAGGGGATATAGCTTAGTGATAGAGTGCTTGTCTAGTATGTATAAAGTTCTGAGTTTCTCCCCAGCACCACAAAATAAACAAACCCAAAACATGAAATACCTGCACCCCCACATTAAGTTTCCTGTCATAATTCAAACTTATAGATTATTCACTTGTTGAGGTGCAAAAATTCTTAGCTTTCAACTGGAAATTATTTAATGACTAGGAAAAGATGCAGTAATTTACTAAAATAGTTTTTTCCACCATATCAAACTAAATAGTGTTCATGTTTTTGTTAACAGTAGGGTCAGGACTACAGGTATGATGGTTCACATAATTTTTAAAAGGGAGTTAGTTAAAAGGAAGTGATATATATCCTTTGGTGTACATCCTTTTAAATGACTTTAAATAGTGAAAAACACCTGTTCAGAATAAATTTGGGCATTAATCGGAGAGGTGAATAAAAATATTCCTAGAAATATTTCATATTTAATATTATAAAATCTTTACAAATGAAATTACCTTAGTTCCTTTTTCATAAAAATGATCATTTGGTTATATGATAGCTATTACTTACATAGCAAAATTTCTTCAATTGGCAGTCTAGACATTTTATAAACCAAGAAATTTTGGACCAATTGATAATATTTCTGACTGTATTAACATTTTAGTGCTATAAAATACTATGTAGATGTCTTAAAATTCTGACATTCTACAGTCTATATTACTATGCTGTTTTTGTTTTACTTCTGCCTTAAAATTTAGTTTTTTTAAATGTATTTTTGCCCTGAATTGTTAATTTGATCAAAGTTCTGCTTCTAAAATCATCACTTACTGGGTTCTAATAAATGAAAAATTAAACTTGTTTCACTGTATCTAATACCTTACATTCTTGACAATCTCGTGATATAGTCACATTTTTAACACTGAGATTTTGAGTAAATTAGTGCTTCTTTAAGTTAAGCTAAAGCAGAAATGTTTACAGGAAAGCTGTTTGTTATAAGGCGAGTTTATCCACAAACACTGAATATCTTTTGTGTGCCTTGTTCTAGTAAGATGAATTGATAAGATAGATAAAGTTTATTCTGGAACTTAAATTCAGGTGGGGACAGTCAAACAACACAAGTAAACAAATGAACCAGATGACTTTAAATAGTGAAAAACACCTGTTAAAAATAATTTTTTTGAGGTTAGAGTTCCAAATAATCATGTTTTCATTCAATGGAAACATTTTAGTTGTGTAATTAGAAGGTAATGACCAAGGGGAAGAGAAAGGATGCTGGAAAGATAGAGGGGGCAAGACAGGGAGAGCTTGTAAGTTCAGGTCACTGGTACTGACCCAGAAAGTGAAAGTACAAAGTATAAAATATGCATGGTGGGGCTGGGGATATAGTTGAGGTAGAGCACTTTTCTTGCACGCACAAGGCATTTGTTTCGATTCCCATTACCCCCAACTCAAATAAAAAAGCAGGGGATGCTGATTGCAAGGAAAATATAATATGTCTTCAAAAGCATTTTTAAAACGTCGATAGTTTTAAAAAAGTATTAAGATTGTGTGTCTTTAATCTTATTTGTATAATCATGTAACAACAAACTTTGCTCAAGTTTGAAATCAGAGAATTTGTTTATAAAAGAAATTGTGAGGACTGGGCACAGTAAGTAGCACATGGCTATAGTCTCAGTGACTTTTAGGAGGCTGAAGCAGGAGGATGGAAAGTTTGAAGACAGCCTCAGCAACTTAGTGAGACCCTGTCTCAAAAAATAAAAATGACTGGGGGTGCAATCTAAAGGAAAAGCACCACTGGGTTAAATTCCCAAGACAAAACAACAACAACAACAACAACAACAAAAAAAAACAGTTGTGTGGAAGTCATTTCCCATAATGGCTGACCCTGAAAACATCAATAAGATAAGATAAACAGTGTGATATATCCAAAGTCTAGCTTATTATTTATATCACACGTGAACCATCAATATTCAGTTCCAGTTGGGCCACATCAAGCCTAATCCAGTTCCATTTTAGATTCTCTTCTCTATTGGTTTCAAATGTAAATTCAGCTAACAAAGATAATTGGTGTAATGGTCCATGTAAGAAAACTATTATCAAGAGTAGAAGAACCCTGGACTTGAAGACAACTCAAACACGGAACATGAATGCTACCAAGATTTTGTTTCACCAATTTCCATTTCTGCTTCTCTTTATAACATTCTTATTACCTTCATTTTCTCAGACCAGTTCCCTCTTCAAAGCTCTATGACACCTAGAAGATCCTATTTTTCTTAGTTTTGCTATTTGATGGGCTACTCCTCTTCCCTTAGTTTCACTTAAAAAAAAAAAAATCCAAGAGAAGAGGGCTGAGGTCATAGCTCAGTGGTATAGCACTTGCCTAGCATGTGTAAGGCACTTGATTTGATTCTATGCACCATATATAAATAAATAAAGGTCCACTCACGACTAAAAAAATATTTTTAAAAAATCGGAGGGAAGAGTGACCTATGCTTCTCACCATAATGTAGTAGGCTGACTAGCCCTCTTGGATTGGTAAATATTATAGGACTAGACAAGATATATTAGGCAACTGTTTTCAGGCAACACAGGTTTACAATCTATGAGAGAAGGGAAATTTAGGCAGTGAGTCCCACAATCACCAAGCTTCCTGTGGTATATAAAAAGATGAGTCTGAGGGGCTGGGACTGTGGCTCAGATGTAGACGTGCGAGGCCCTGGGTTCTATCCTCAGCACCACATAAAAATAAATAAATGAAGATATTGTGTCCAACTACAACTAAAAAATAAATGTTAAAAAAAAATGACAGAGTCTGAGCAGAGCACAGGGTTCTGCTGACTTGAGGACATGGAGATCATTGTGGGGGATAGCTCAAACAGTTGAGATCTATGTAATGCGAGGGACACCAGAAAATCCAGAAATACATATAGGGGTTCCCATAAGGGAATATATATTGGGCTATCCCTGCTCAGATCAAGACCACCTGATGTATAGTTAGAGTGCTTACCTAGCATGTGTGAGGCCTGGGTTCAATCTCAAACACAGAAAGGAAAGAAATGAAGGAAGAACTGCCCTAACAAAGCCTAACATTAAGCCCTGAAAAGACTGATAGAGGAAACAATATGGGAATTGCATTCTGCTAAGTTAAAATTTGAAAAGTTTTGGGGCTTAATATGAGCTAACAAAGTAAAAAATAAGTATATTCAAGTTTAGGTGACTACTCAGTAACTGGAATATCTTCTAAAACAAGAAGCAGCAATTTTCAGCGAAGATAACAGAATCCAGTTGGGCACAGTGGCCCACACCTGTAATCCCAATGACTTAGGAGGCTGAGACAGGAGAATCACAAGTTTAAGGACAGCCTTGACAATTTAATGAGACCTGTCTCAAAATAAAATGAAAAGAGGGGCTGAGGATGTGGCTCAAGCGGTAGTGCGCTTGCCTGGCATGCACGGGGCACTGGGATCGATCCTCAGCACCACATTAAAAATAAAATAAAGATGTTGTATCCACCGAAAACCAAGAAATAGATATAAAAAAAAAAATGAAAAGAGCTGGGGATGTAACTCAGTGGTAGAACACTCCTAGGTTCAGGCCCCAGTACTTAAGGAAAAAAAAAGAAAAACAGAATCCAGAGTTTCTACAAGGTATTACATTTATCCAGTATTCATGAAAAATGACTAGATAACATACAAAAAAACAAAATGCAATTCATGGTTTCAAAAAATTGATGGCCTAGCA